AGAGCTTGAGATCCTCGTCCGTAAAGGCCTGAGCCGCCTTTCTTCCCAGTATCACCTCGTTCATGTCGCGAGTGATGACGGCGGGAGTGACGCATGTGAACTTTTGAATGATCGTCTGCATCGCATCGGCTCGTTCGTCAGCTGGATGGATGACGGCACGGAGGAAGTCAGAATCCTCCGCAAACCAATTCAAGATCTGGTTAGGAACTCTTGGCTTGGGTTTCCGGGGTCTGCCGTCTAACCCGAGCGTCAGGAAATCAATCAGGCGCTTGCCATAGATGGGCCGACGTTGGCCGCGGAGAGCGTTCAGGTACACGCTGTGCTGCAATTCCTCGAAGCGGCGCCAGCGAGCCAGGCTGTCCAGATATATAATGTTCGACTCAACTGTTGAAGGGTCGAGGTTTGTACGAGCCACATGAGCTCTGGTATTCTGTGCCTCTCTCAGTTCCATCAGTACCCTGTGGAGGCTGAGCTGCGAAATACGCTCCGCCGTTGTGTTGGACATATTCTCGTGTTGTGTAGGAATCATGTTGAGAACGCCCAGGCTAACAATGGACATAGGCTCTACTGCAAGTAAAGATCGGTGTAGGAACTGATCGGTAACCTGAAATTCTGCTGGAACCGATTTCTGCATCCTAAAGGACGTCATGATGGGGCGGTCCACGAAAAGGTCGGGATGGTTGCAGACTTTCCGCAACTGCATCAGACAATTGATGATGGAAAGGTAGTTGCCAGAGGATAGCGTCTCCCGGGTGTCTGTGCGAGCCAAGAAGCCATCATACAACTCGCGCTGACGTTTCGACAGGCGACAGAATTCTACGTGTTCGTACTTGGCCGGCATTTGCTTTTCGACGTCGGCCTTGAGTCTTCGTAGTAGATACGGTCGCAAGACCTTGTGTAATTTGGAAATGATCGCTCGCGCTTCCTCGTCCATCGTCTCGCGGCCGTTTTCCAGGATTTGAGACTCTGGCTTGTGGAACCAATCGTGAAACTCTTGCAAGTCTGCGAATCCACCCACGCCATTTTCGGCTGGCATGAGGAAGAACAGCAACGACCACAACTCGGTGAGATTGTTTTGGAGCGGGGTGCCTGTAAGTAGAAGCCTTGCCCGAGTATTGAAACCGAGGAGCGTCTGCCACCGCTGTGATTTGAAGTTCTTGATGTTGTGGGCCTCGTCGAGAATCATGTAGTGCCACCTCCGACGTTTAAAGACCTGCTGGTCCTGGATGACAAGCTGGTAGGATGTAATACAGACGTTCCATACGTCATCGTTGTTCCATCCCTGTCGCTTGCGTTTCCTCTCCTCTTGAGTGCCGTAGTAGGAAAGAATTTTGAAACCAGGACACCATTTCTTGAACTCCATCTCCCAGTTGAGCATGACACTTGTTGGTACGATCACCAGATGCGGTCCCCAAACCTCGTGATGGCAAGCAAGATGAGCGAGTAGCGAGATGGTCTGGATGGTTTTGCCAAGACCCATCTCATCTGCAAGAATGCCATTGGTGTTGTTGGCATACAGTCCCGCCAGCCAGTCCAGCCCATGATGCTGATATTCACGCAGAGTACCACGAAGCAAAAACGGGATTTGCGTCTGTTGTGAATTGGGGTTTGGTGAAGCTGACCGACTGACAACATCCTTTGCCCCTGGGGTCGCCAAAGACATTGTGTCCACATCTGAAGGCTTTGTGTCGGATGTAGGGGGCGAATGACTTTGTTCTCGACTTGGCGGGACGGTAATGATATCGGTATCAGGAGTGACATGTTTCGTTGCGACCGTAGCAGCGGTAGATGGTGCCGGGGGCATTGACGCCTCTGATGTTTTCGATGGCGCATCTTGCATTTCCGTATCAGCAGATTCCACTGCCTCTGGTATCCCGTTGGTGGCAGCTACTACCCTCGTGAATGTTGGCTCCTTATGTATGCCATTGACTAAGGCCTCATCTGACTTGAGCGACTGTACGGGCAAGGTGAGCTCCTTCTCTGAGGCTGCAATTTCGACACCTTCATCCTGGTCGCCAGCGCTTGGTAGCACAGTAGCTTGTCCTTCTGTGTCAACCTCCATCTCGTCACCGTCCAAGAAGATACCGGGGTGTTGAATGAGAGACACTTCATCATCATCATCATCCTCAACAATGTCGTCCCTAAAGTTCGATGATGCCTCTGCTTGTGGGGATGCGCCATCAGCCACCAAGGCTGTAGCGTTTTCATGTGCCTCCTTGTCATCGGGCGGCGCCTCATCCTTAATTTTCTTCAACTCGGATTTCCGAAAGAGCATGCCCAACAATCCAGATGGCTCCTCGTCACCGTCTTCCTCTTCCGACTCTTCATCTGCGGCAGAGCCGTCATCACTGTCGTCCATATCGGTGGACCCCATGTCGTCGTCCATGTCAACGGACTCATCGCTGGTCTCTTCTCCGGGGCTCGTTGCCACGACTTTTGAGTCTGCCTCGGACTCGACGCCATTGGTGAGTTTCTTTTCGGCTTGTTCGTCGGGAGGAAGCTCAGGTAGATTGGCGTATTTGGCGCGAAGCTGTTCCATAGTGAGCTTCTCATCGCCAGCATCGCCGGTGTGATCTTCGCTTGCTTCCTCCTCTTCTGAAGATGACATGACATCGTCGTCATCGTTGCCGGAGTCATCATCATCCGCATCTACCGACATCGCTTGGCTGTTCTCTAGGTCGCTGTCGAGGTCATCCAGGCCGTCCTCATTGTCGTCGTCGTCATCGTCGTCGAGATCATCCTCATCGGATATGTCCGAATCTGCCTGTGTTCTTCTTGCCTGCAGCTTCTGCTCTGACAAATTGACGGCCTCCTGAAGCGCAGCCTTGACCCGGCGCTGCTCCTCTGCCTCCCATTCTTGAATCCTCCGCCGATTGATCTCGTATCGAACATTCTCCCAGGTTCCAAACATGCTTTTGACAACCACTCTGTATCGCCCGATCCACACAAAGCGCGCCTCGGCCTCGAGTTCTTCTGCTGACTTTGGTTGGCGCCGGAGCCAAGCGTCCTTGCATGCTTCGGCAATCTTCTTGGCCTGCGCTCGATGTCTCTGCTGCTCTGCTACCATCAGCTTGCGGAAGTTGGTAACAGCCTTGGCCATGTGGTCTGCATGAGCCCATTGGCGAGGTGGTTCCTCTTCCGCCTCGGGAACAAACAGGGTGCAGCGCTCTTGTGAAAGAATACCGCCAGGCTCCACAACCTCTTCGATGCGCAAGACAATTTGAGCATCCTTCTGGGCCATCTCATCGGTGTAGCTAGGCCCCTCCTCTGGGATGTACATGCCACCATCCTCAACGGGTATTGCCTGCGCCTTTTCCCAGTATTCTTCAAAGTTGGGTCCGATTCTTAGCCTCTTGCTGACTTGTCCCGGATGTACAACGGGTAGCTCGGTCGCGCGCACACGTAACTTAATCCGCGTACGGTTCGGGCTACCCGCCGATGTTGTCGCTACCTCATCGTCGATGGAGCTGCGACGGCCCCGCCTTGTCCGCGTTGACTGCCTAATTGGTTGAGCAGATGGGGAAGGGCTTCGCTTGCGTGTGGATCGGGAGGTGGATTTGGTCTCGTTCGCAGCCGACTTCCGGTTGGAGGTCTTGGGCGGAGGCTGTGCGGGCTTTGCTGCTGATGGTTTTCGCGAGGGAGTCTTGGACTTGGAGGTTCCGTTTGGGGTGGGGGTCGCGGCATGGCCGTTGGTAGAAGCATACTTGTTCTTGGAGGGCGGACTGCTGTTAAGAGCTCCTCTCGTCATTCGCTTGCCGGATGGCGGATGGAACTCAAGGGGAATGGTGTTGATTCGACCAGACTTGCGTCTGCCGTTGTCGATAAAAGACGTCGGACCCTCGGCGGTGATCTTCTTCCATGGCGGAGAGATTTGCTTCTTTTTCTGACCAGATCCAGGGGCGGATGGCGTGGAGACGCGACGTCGTTTCGAAGGGCGTTCATCATCGATGTCGGAGGAGGGCACGGGAGGGGGAGGCGAGGGCGAGGGTGTTGACGGAGATAATGGTGATGCAGGTGATGGTGAGCGGAGGGGTAGTCCGATGAAGTCGTTACCGTTGGGGGTCAGTTGGCCTTCGAAATCGTCGGATCCGAGGGATTCAAGCGGTGATGAGGGCGGATCGGTATCATATTGAGGTACAGTCGCGGTTTGTTCGTCGCGTTGGGAGTCGATGGCCTCGTTGGTGGGTTGCGCAGGGTCGGGCGACGCGGTCTTGTTCATAATAGCAACGGGGGGCGGACGCGAGATGGGGCCGTGATCTCGACGGGGCCGGCATCTGAAGCGTCAAAATTAACGTCTATAGAATGGTGTATGCTCAGAGAATTCTAGTTTCGAGTTTGAACATGATGACACGTCTTGGTGGCCGGCTGCGTTGGAAAAAGGATGCAAAACCAGCGTCGCCAGCAAAAAGTTTGATGATAGATTTTTTTGCAAAGATGCAGCTCCGACCTTGCCTGGGCTAGCCGAAAGGAGAACGTTGGTACTTGGCCTCAGACCTCAAGACTCGGGGGGCGCAGGGGCGTAGAGGCCGTTCGGGTGGTGACGGCGGACGATTGATGCTGCCCTGAGGTACAGGCAGGCAGCTACACACCACTGTGACTCGAACCACCAATGAATGACGACCGCTGTTTGGGGGACTTTGCTCCCTTGAATCAACGAAATGGGTGACAGGAGTCAGGGCAAGTCCATCCAACCAGACGTCCGGATTCGACCAAAGTGCCCCACATCTGTCTTTGGCTGGCGCGCACCTCAAAAAAGTGACCAGTTCTGAACGTTGCACGCCTCAGGCATTCGCCCCATCAGGCTGGCCAACCACAATCGAGGGATTTGGCTAGCAATCATCAATCGACCGAAGCTTCGGCTCAGACCTGCGACGACATCACATCCAAAAATACCAAGCAATTGGGCCCGCATCGGAACCACAACTTCGGCCACGGTATGCCCATTCCACCCTCAATTGACTCGTAGATTATCGTGACAATCTAACTCACCTCTTTCGCAGATGCTGTCCCAACGATTTGCGCGGGCCTCGACGGTCCGCGGCGCCGTCCAGGCCGCCCGACGAACCCCGATTGTCCAGCAACGTACCTTCTTCCCTCCTCAGTTCAACGACCGCAAAGTTCTCGAGGAGAAGTACCCCGAGTACCCGACTCTGTCTGACGCAGAGGACCCCAACATGGTCAGTGACACGGCAATTGGCGGCTAGAGAGGAAGGAAAGAGTGAGAGAGGCTCGATAGCCGTGGCTAACTCGAAGACGCGCAGAACGGCGGATACATCAACCCTCCCTTCATCAAGAGACAGTTCCGCGATCCCCACGGCGATTGGTGGGACAAGCAGGAGCGCCGCAACTTTGGCGAGCCTGTCCACGAAGACCACGACTTGCTCGGCATGTTCTCCCCTTTCGAGTACACCTGGACCACCACCGGCAAGGGCCTGGCCCAGATCGGTGCCTTTATCGTCGTCTTCCTCGGTGTCTGCGGTGTTGTCAAGGCCAGCTACCCCGACAAGGCTTCATACCCGAGAGAATTCCCCGACGGACTCGAGAGGGAGTTGGGAGGTGCTAGCGCTCTGCGGGTAGGTCCTGCGGCAGATATATGAGATCAAGACTGCGAGACTGACATAATGACAGGCGAGAAAGGCTGGCGACGCTGACCCATGAAAAGTGTGACATGTCGGGGGTTACGAATGGAGACGCATGTGTGTATTTTAGAGCAGAAGAAGAAATCCTTTGGGAACCCCACCAGCAACAAGTTCATATGTCTTCAGTCAATGTTCCAGTCAGAATCATCCGCAGTGAAATCAACCATGCTAGCCTGACAACCAATGTGGTCGCATCTGACAGGCGGAGTGGGACGCAGACGCGACAGCTTTGCCGCCAAGAATGGCAAGAACGCAAGGTACCTAGTTGGCTATTCCTCGGCCAGTTCTTCACGATAGAAGGGCAAGTGCCCGGCTGGCGTCGGCCTCTTGGTGTAGAATGGCGTAGAAATGTATGGGAGCTCCTTCTTTCCGCGAGGCAACTCAGTTCCATCTCTGCTTGCCCCTTGAACGAAAGGGGTACGGTACCTTGCCGTACCAAAGTCGTCTTCTCTGTCTACCATCCGTCAGTAGACGGGCTCGACGTCAAACAACACAACTACAATATTCAGTGTTCCCAGCATACTAATCTCGATCATCGGACTCGACCTTCGTCGTACCCGTCATCGTCTGCTCGCGTTTCTGCTAACAACAAAGATTTCACCCATTGTCGCGCTCGACTAGATACTGTGGGGGGTTTCGACATGCGTTACGATAATTGGGACGTCCTGCTGTTCCCCAGCAGTGGATCGGTGCCGCTGAAGGAGTTCAAGACAGACTGCTCCGTCATTCCGGACCTTGGTCAGTCTTGACGAGCTCAGTGGTCATGGACGTTTCTTTGCTGATCAGAGGATGCCCTGACAGAATCGAAACTAGCATCATCTCCGGGGTCTTTTGGCTTACCGGTTGTTCATGGTTTCGTCCCCAGTCTTCCCCGCAACATGCCGCTGACGGTTTCTATCTTTTCTTGGACAATCCCTTCTATCAGCAACCCGAATCAAAACGCCAAGATTGTAGTCTTTGCGGCGAGGGTTTACATCGATGGAGAACTCGTCGCGTAAGAACTTTGCCGTCGACATCGGTGTCGCTTACAGCTTCTAATGGACTTTCAGCGAGGACGTATTCGACCAAGGTCGGCGGACGCCTCTTCCCATCTCTCAAAGTCTCAGTAAGTCGACACAGTTGCCGATGCATGAACTCGCCGAGGAATATGCCGCTGATCTGACTCTTTACAGAACCAAACAAACACGGTGACCGCGATCTGATCAGGTTCCCTGCATTCAACGAGAAATATTTACGAGAATACTCCTGGAATCCTGCCGCATCCCTTGGCCGCATTCAAGTTATCGTCACGGAAGCAGTCCAGCGTGACCCGACGACTCTTTCCTTGGACCACATCAAAAATATCGCTGCATTTTCTTTCTGCCACGCTCCACTCGGTCGGTAGCACCTAGTGACTCAGTTCGCTGTCTGGACTGCGGGCTAATCATTTCTAATGTAACAGAGACGCTCGAGGAAGCTGCCATTGCCTGGCCGAACCGACGCATGTGGGAGAGTGCCACGCCGGCACATGACTTTCCCTCAGCAGTCTATCCAACAGGCCACGATCTATCTTCTCAGCAATGGCCTACAAGACCTGTGAGAGATCAGCCTCAACAGCCTTTGTCTTCAACTCCAGCGCTCACGACTCTGCCAGTCTTCCAAATAGAGGCGAGTCCGTCAGACCCGCTTCGTTCGACTGGAGATTCCGTTCAGCGTGCCATAGAAGGGTCCCATGGTTGCGCTATCCGTCGGAATCCGTCACGCACTGGTGTTCTGTCGGCCTCAGTCAGCGCAGCGCATCCATCCCTCATGCTTCAAGATACCACCAATCTAATCGGCCACAACCCAGGGCCATTAAATCCTGTTCATTGGGATTACCCGGTTGGCGAAGCCCTTTATGGCGACCTTAACCCAAGCAGTTTCTCCACCCAGAGCCAACAAATACGTGGTGAAGCACCATTGAGTTCATTGGAGGCTTCAGACTCTACAACCGACAAGTTTGTCTCTTGTACGCTATCTCGTTTCTCACTCTTGGTTGGAGATTGTGCTGACCTTCAGCAGCCGTCCACGATGCGAGGTCGCAGGCTGCCCCGGCCGCGAAGTGGAGCATGTCAGTGCTTGGTCTGCCAGTCTCTCATGGCAATGGTCCTCAACCTCGACGGGAGCTCTACGCTCCAATCCCCGCAACAGAGGTCAAGTCTCGCAAAGAGTGCCAGCCTCAGCACAACATCTCGAAGCCATTGGCATCAAGATTTCCCGAATCAACATCAGACCCGGAGCTGTTGAAAAGGGTGAAAGGTCGGGCGCTCTCGACCCTGAACACGCCTCAGGCCAGGTTCATGTTGATTGATCCTGCCAACACCGCCAGGCGCGCTCCGTCGTTGGGCACGCTGGGCACGCCATCGAAGAAGCGGTCTTCGGCGGCGAAGAGTATCCGGCGATCCGTATCATTTGGTCCAGTCGTCAGGGACATTGAGATTGAGCGGCCGCAACCTGGCATAAAGCCGAGTCAGTGTAAACGCGACTTCACCCCTCTTGGTGTTGTAGATGTTGTCGCCCAATCTGACCAAGGCCATTCCAGCCCCATCCTTTGATCATCTACTGCACTGTCAGGAAGTATTGGGTGCTGAGATATCAAGAGACACGCACGTTGAGCATGACTAAACTAATCAAGAGAATTCGCTCGGCAGAAAGAGTTTCGGCTTTGGGTGGATGGTTATGTACCAACGTATGAGACTCTACCGGCGAAGATCATGTATTGTTTACGCTGTGAAGTCTTGGGCCATGGATTACTTTCCACGAAGCACGTGTAGTGTTTACCAAAATGGCAACGATTCCCGCAAGTAACATTCCTTGCCACTAGCAGTGAATAGAACTGTAATACGTTAATCGAAGCTTATCGTTGTTTTGGAGTACAGTCGGCCTCAAGCTTGATCCGTTGTCATGTTACGAGCATGTGCCTCTTTAGCCACACAGTATGGTAAGATCATTCAAGATTATTCAGAAGCTCACAAGTTACCACAGCCCAGCCGATGGTTCGGGGAGAAATTCTTGGATATTCCGGAGGTAGGGGAGCTTCGATCCACTTTAGGGCCGATTGGATACGCGGGTGATGTATGGATTCGCGGATGGATATCCATGGTGGCCATCCTCCTCGGCTCGGACTATGACAGGTCAGTGCATCATCTACCTGTTCATCCCATGAACCGCTCCGTTCCATGGGTATATCTCGATTTTCTCTCTCGTGTTAGTTTTTCCGAATCTCTCATAGCTGGACATCCGCTTCTTGTAACTCTTCAATGAGTCGCTAATCTGCAGATTGTTGTTTCTGAAGTTCTGTTAGAAGGGGCATCATTGTCCATTCCTTACCCATCATGGCTCGAATTTCAATTCCATAGTAAGTCAATACGTCAGACTCGCACGGGGAGACTGACACCTTCGGGTTCCTGGCGCTGGAAGACGCCTCCCGAACCGAAAGCCGGGATGGAGTACTCGCCGGGATGGGTTGCAAAGGTACTCCAGACCCCAGATCTCGCACTCCGCAAGTGACCCAACGTGACCTGCAATTCGTTGGTTTACATGGCCTAATGCAGCTAACCATCGTTTGCATGTGCGGGGATTTAGGGAACCGCTCAAAGTGTGGGGTGTAAAGGAAATTGGCATTGGAACGTCGGGATATCCGGTCGACAGCGTGAATACGGTTGTTCCTGGCAGGCTTTGGGCAATAGTGCCTCAATTGATCTGGTATATAAGAGACTTCATGCCCAGATATCCATATCACGTTCGTCCCGATGGCTGATGTCCTGCAAGCTCAATTGCGTTGCAAGTAGTCAGTCAAACAGAGATCTTGACAATGCTGCAAGCATATCTAGGTCTAGCAGCAGTCTCCCTGACTGGGGCGTATGCCGCTGCGTTCGAGACTTCCGGTGCTCCATCGACAACCGCCCGGCCAACTGCCGCAACTTCATGGTCCTACAGCATCTTTACGTATGAACAGCTAACGGTAAACCGGTACCCGACGCCGCTGCCATATCCTCTGACCATCGCGACCCCATACGCACCACACTTTACCGAGGTTTCGACATTGTTGCCAGAGAATGTCACTTACACGACGTATTCCCTCAACCCGTCGGCTACAGCGTCCCCCGATGGCCAGTACGGCCAGAGCGCCTACGCCGCTCTCTGGGCAAACTACACTTACACGCATGAGCCTCCCTTCACGACAACCGCATCCCCGACACCCATCCCGTCCAGCGAGCTGGTATACCCCCCTCAATTGCCCGCCAGACCCCTAAATGACAACACCGACCTCAAGTTCCCTTCCGACTTTGTATGGGGCGTGGCTGCCAGCGCATGGCAGATCGAGGGAGGTCTCCAAATCGAGGGTCGTGGCCCTGCTGTGCTTGACGTTGTTGGCGTCAACGGCCAGGGATTGCTCGGTACCAATGACTCGAATGTGGCAGACATGCACTACTTCCTGTACAAGCAGGACATCGCGAGGCTTGCGGCTCTTGGCGTGCCGTACTTCTCCTTCTCCATCTCCTGGACTCGTGTCGTGCCGTTTGGCAGGGCAGGTTCGCCGGTCAACCAGCAGGCGTTGGACCACTACGACGACGTGATCAATACTTGTATAGAGTACGGCATCACTCCGGTCGCAACGTTGATGCACATAGATAACCCCGTTGGTATCTTTGACAATCTCGACGAGTTCCCAAATCACTACGCCTACTATGCCAAGCAAGTCATGGCGCGGTATGCGGACAGAGTGCCGTACTGGGTCACCTTTAACGAGCCAAACATTGCCGTGCAATTCACCCTGCCCAGCTACGATGGATTAACGGCGTTCCTCCTCGCCCACGCGGACGTCTACCGCTGGTACAGAGACGTCCTCGGCGGAACCGGCAAGATCACCATGAAGTTCGCGAACAACCTCGCCGTGCCTCTGGACCCGGGCAACCCAGACGACGTCGCAGCCTCCTACCGCTACCAGGACTTCATCCTCGGCATCATGAGCAATCCGCTATTCCTGGGGAACCAGTTCCCCGAAGTCGTCCTCAACACGCCCAAGATGAATACCACGCTCACAAAGTCCCTAACCGACGAGCAACTCGCCCACATCAACGGCACCATGGACTACTGGGCTTTTGACCCCTACGGCGCTCAATACGCCACAAACCCACCAGGCGGCTACGAAGCCTGCGCGGCCAACTCCTCAGACCCCCTCTGGCCCTCATGCGTGACGCTCACCACAATTCAAGCCAACGGCTGGGCAATGGGCGCGATCTCCGAAGGTGGCGCCCTCATCGCCCCGTCCTACGTGAGAGAGCAATTCGGCTTTGTCTGGAACACGTACCGGCCGTCGGGCATCATGGTCACGGAGTTTGGGTTCCCGCAGCTGGCGGACGCGGAGACGTCACACGATGCGCAGCGGTATGACTTCGAGAGGACAATGTATTATCAGAACTTCTTGACCGAGACGTTGAGGGCTATTCACGAGGACGGGGTGAATGTTATTGGGGCGCTGGCGTGGAGCTGGATTGATAATAATGAGTTTGGGAGCTTCGAGGCACAGTATGGAATGATGGGTGTGAATCGGTCGGATCCAGGGTTGGCAAGGTGGGTGAAGAGGAGCTTTTTTGACTATGTGGACTTTTTCCAGAGTCACATCTAGCTTGTGTAGATACTGTTGAGGAAAGTCGTAAATACTACTCAACGATGACTGGACAATTCATTTGGTACGATTTCGAGGTTTTGAGGTGTTAGTGCAACAGGTGACATCGGTTCTAGTAAGCGGCTATTGCGGCTCGTTTATGTCAGAGTCTCCGGCCAGTCCTGGCCTATCCACGTTTTCATCATGTCAGACTTGATGACGATCTTTCGGAGCCCCGTCCAATCTGGACGTTACCGGCCGCTAGACGAAGCTAAGCTTACGACCTCTGCATTGGTAGGCTAACCCCAGAAATTGCCTTTGTCTTCCAAAGTTCCCAAATGCCCCAAGTTTTGATTGATTAGTGGGCTAATGCACCACCTAGCTGACGTGAGAGGAATGTGGGCTAGAAGGATTGAAATCCGTGATGACAACTTCCTTCTCCACATAGTGTTCATGATGTATAAAGCAGATAGGTTACCTTGGCATCTGGATGTCCACTTGAGATCTTCTTGGCATGCTTCTTACAACCCATATTCTAGTGTGCTCAATTCATCCAAGTTGGCAGCAACACCGGCTTCATAACAATGGCAGACGAGAGTACCCACCGCCTCATTCCACATGTTGTGGCCGAGCAGGTTGCGCGGGACCCAGATCGCATTTGGGCTTCATACGCCATCAGTAAGGACATCGCCAAAGACGGGTTCCGCGATGTCACCATCCGTCAGCTATCAAGAGCAGTAGACAGAGTGGCGTGGCACATCGAGGCCAACATCGGAAAGAGCACAACATTCGACACGTTGCTCTACTTTGGCCTCCCCGACATCAGATACGCAATCAACGTCATCGCCGCCATGAAGACGGGCCACCAGATCCTGCTGTGTTCTCACTTCAACAGCCTCATTTACAACTTGAGTCTCTGCGAGAAGAAGGATTGTCAAAATGTGATGCGGAGCGAGGGCGTGGACGCCATGGTCGATCCGCTGTTGGCGGCGAGACCGATGAAGACCTTTCCCGCACCATCTCTAGACAGCCTTCTCGATGACAATGGCGATGTAGACCCGTACCCTTACACGCGGACCTACGAGGAAGGCATCGACGATCCGGCGGCCGTGGGACACACCTCGGGCACGACGGGACTGCCTAAGCCTGTCACCTGGACACAGAGGTCCTTTGTCGTCGTCGATACCGTCTGGCGCTTCCTCCCAGATCTCGATGGCCGACCGTCCTATCACAAGGTTCTCTCAAAGGGGAAGCGCTGCTACCAGACCATGCCCATCTTTCACCCCTTTGGCTTCTTCTCAGCCGTCACCGACCCCCTTTTCCGGAAAAAGGTCCTCGTCTTGGGCCCCAACACCCTCGGTCCCATCCCGCCATCGACACTTGAACTGATGTTTGAGCACGGCGACTTTGACTGCTTGGCTGGGGTACCGATCTACCTAGAAATGGTGGCAAAATCCCCCGTGTGCCTCGCCTCCGTCGAAAAGAAACTAAAGTTCATCTTTTACGCGGGCGGCGCGCTCAGCAAACCCGCCGGCGACGCGCTCTCAGCCCGTACAAAGCTTGACCAGCTCATCGGGTCCACCGAGGCCGGCGCCGCCCTAGGTCACGAGACGGACCGCGAGGACTGGGACTGGTTCTGCCTCAACGACGAAGAGAGCGGGATCGTCTGGGAAGCCTGCGAGGTCAAGGGGTCCGGGTCTGAAGGTGAGCCGCAAGAACAGGTTTACGAGATGACGTTTGTGAGAAACCCCAAGGTGGAGAAGCAGCAGCACGTCTTCTGGCACAGCAACGTCGTCGACGGCGTCTTCCGGAGCAATGATTTGTTTGTGAAGCATCCCACCAAGGCGCACCATTGGAAGTTCTACTCAAGGAGGGACGATATTGTGGTGACCAAGTTTGGTTGGAATGTCAATCCCATGTTGTTGGAGAGGGAGATTGCGCAGC